AAAAAAGCGTTCTCATAAATTAAATAATATTTTATAAATAAAAATATAATATAATCTTGGATATAATTTTTATTTTTCGAAAATTGTATTTTTATTTATATAAAAAAAAATAAAAAAGTATATTCTCTAATTTTTTTTTTATGAAATGAATAATTATATATATATATATATACACAAAATATTTATATCTCAAAAATAAATTAAAAAAAATTGGAGGTTAAAATAAGGGACGAGAGACGAGTTAAGCCCCTGTCTCGAAGACATCTCTAATGGACAAATAACTACATCATAAATGGATTACTCAAAAAAAAAAATGTGAATAAGCATATTATTTTAAAAATATGAATAATCTAAGCTAATACCCAAATAAATAAATAAATATTATATATATAGATATATATATATACACGTGGTAAGAGAAAAATAAACAGATTATTTATTTATTTTTTTTAAAAAAAAAAGTAAATTAAGAAACGAACAGATCGATTACATTATTGGCAAACCTGGACGAAAGCAGAAACCGCAACGTCGTCGCCGGGACATTCATTGGACTCCAAATTAAGGAACGCCGTCGCTCCACGGCAGAGCTCGCCGGCGGCTTCCACGGCCTGAACCTCCGCCGATTTGGTACCCTGGCCGAAGAGGAACCCCTGTCCAGCAAGAGCGCCGGACGGAGTAGCCACGATGCACCCATGGTTCGGATGAGGAGCTGTCAATCCAGCGGATTTGTCGGCGATCTCGGCGGCGCGTTGGATGAATGTGGCTTCCAAGGAATGGGAGGTGGAAGTCGTGACGGCGGCGGTGTTGACATTTGTAGGAGCGGAGACTGCCGCCGTCGCCGCCGCCGCCGGCCTTGAGAGACAGATTATAGGTAGAGAAGGAACTAAAGAGAAGATCATCGGAGCTTTGGCGGTGGTGCAGTCTTCTTCTTCTTCTTCTTCTAATTCGTCGACTTCCGGCGGCCTCCGTTGGACGAACGGTTTTGTAAAAAGAAGGCCCTAAGGTTTGTTTTTATAGGAAAGGCCCCTTGCATTTTGGAACCTATGTTAAATTACGATTTTACCCTTGGTTTTATTATTATTATTATTTTTATTCTTTATATGGTTTGAGTTGAGTTGGGTTAATAAAAATTGAAAGCCTTTGTGGTAAATTCGGAATCGAAGCTTTTTTCCTCTAGAAATGAAGCATCCTAAACGGGATGCATAATGGGAGTCGTAGGAAGGGCAAAAGATAAGTGGATAAAACACAATTCTCGGGTTGAAATTGAGCAAAACTACACGAGTTGAATGCTTGTTCCACGTATCGAGGGGTACTGATTCAAATAGGTTAGCATGTAGTTGAATGCTTGATCTATTCGTTTTAGAAATTATCACTCGTTCTTCTTTCACTGTTTTGATCGAGAATCATCATATTTCAACCAGCAAAATAAATATTAGGTCAGAATTTCTTAAATTTTGATTAAGAACTCAATTTACCGTCAAAATTTAGAAAATTGATAAAAAAAAAATTATATTTTTTAAACTTACATAAAAGATTTTTCCATATTCAATCCAAATTTAATCTTTTTAGTGTAAATTAATTTTAGTGAAATAGTTGTTGAAATTAAAATAAATTGTATTAATGGGGGGCTTATAGGTAATTTTCAAATTGCCAAAAAAAACATGTCCAATGCCCAAAAAACAAAACGTTTTGGAGGGTAGTTTTTGCAATTATCCAAATAATGTTGGGAAGTTCAAGAAAAACTAATTTTATTTCCATAAAAAAAAAATTGACATTTGTGGATGATTATGACGTCACCATGAGAAGTGAAATTACTTTTATGCCCTCAGTTCGTTAAGAGAAATGGTAAGACCGTGCAAACGAGCGTCGACTCCTCCAAATCAGCGTATGATATCAATGCCATTAAGGAACTTATCGAGATCAACTCACCTGCTTGATAGTCAGTGCACAACAACACCTGGTGTTCTCTTCTCAGATTTAATGGCATGCCTACCATATCAACCGAATTCCATGGAACGTCGAACTTCACTCTTAACTTATTTGATGATGGTCAAGAACCTACTTCAGTAGAACATATCGTACGTCGAGTCGTTGCAAACGAATTTTCCTTAAATGTCACCTCGTCTTAATAACTCTTAAAAAAATGAACTCGTAATAACCATTTTAAAATATAACATGACATGGAAAAAGCTGTCGTTTACTACATACAAATTAGAATCACAACAATATTTTAGAGAAAAAATAATTTAATATATTTATAGCATGAAGAACGCCGTCGTTTACCAATAATTTCCCCATTTTGAACAAATTATATATATAAGTATTTAAGAAAAAAAAAAAGGCAGAAAATACAAAATAATTAAATAATTAAAAAAAAAGACAACGATGGACAGTGAAGGAGGAGCCACGTGTCCGCACATATTTCATTCCTCATTTCCTCTAAAATTTTCTATTTATTTATTTATTTTCGTCGGAAATCGATTTTACAGATAAATTATTTTTCAATATAATATTTATTAAAATATTATAAAAAACTATCCTCGTAAATTAATATATTTTCTAAGCAAATATATAATATATAAAAATAAATAATGTTCTATCAAAATAATTTTTAAAAATTTAAATTTTAATATTACAATATAACTTTTAACCATTATAATAAATCATTTAATTATTTTCAAAATTAAGTAATTTATTTAATTTATATATTTGTATGTTTATATATATATATGTACATACACATTAGCCATACACACGTACATTTTTTGGCCATTCACTTCCAATCTGATAGCAAAAGATTTGGAATCTAAAATTGTATGGAAATAATTAAAAAAATTTAAAAAAAATACATTAATTAATACAAATCATGGAATATGCTCGAAGAACAAAATAAATTACTAAAAATAATGCAAAAATATCCCAACAATGACAACTTTTATTTATTTATTTATTTATTATTATTATTTTATAATTTTTGTTTTAAGTGTTTAGATTAAACCCATAGAAAATTATGAATTTGATAGGATTTTTAAAAATATTTATAAACTAAAATAGATAATTTAAAATTTTGTTTTTATTATTTTTATTTATTTAAGAAAAAGACAAAAATAGAAAAATGGAGTGAGGGGCAAAATTAGATATAGATTCGTTCTTATCCCAATTTATTTGTCATTCCACGTGAATGAACACAAAACGACCAATTTCTCCCACACCCAAAATTCAGCCTCACACTCCCCTAAACGACCAATTTCCCTCTCTAACCGATGTGAAATCTTACAATCCACCCCCCTTTGTAGGTCTAGTGTTCTCGCTGGCACACCGTCCAGTCTGTCCCTAATACCATTTGTAACAACTCAAACCTACTACTGTTAACAATATTTTCCTCTTTGGGTTTTTCCTTCAAGGGCTTCCCTTCAAGGTTTTAAAATGCGTCTCATAGGGAGATGTTTTCGCACCCTTATAAGGAATGTTTCGTTTCCCTCTCCAACCGATGTAGGATCTCACAAGTGATAGCTACTCATTTTGTCTCACATCATAGAATATCATAGAATATACAAGCATTGATTGTCACTCCAAAATATTGTCTTTCCAACTTATACATACTCATGGATGATATAACTCTTAAATATACGCCAAAGGCATAAACGCATTTCAAACATGCTATCATTTGCAGTAATGAAAGTAAAAGACTATTGAGTTTGACATCCAAAAGAACGAAGGAGGCAAAGTTGTCGTTGAGGAAACAGTTCATGTTCAAGAACATCCTATAATATAAATTTGATGTGTCTATTCAAGATATCATATAACATATGTTTGATATTGATATGTGTACAAGGTTGAATCCATTTTGTGCCTAAGATGTCATGCAGTTCATCAACCCAATTTACTATGGTTCAAACCTATTGAAGCTTTTTTATTAAGTAATCATCAAAGGTGAAGGTGATACTGGAAGTTGAACCCAGATCGCTGGATTCAAAGTCTAAAGTGCTGACCACTACATCATAGAACTAAATTTTATAATGAAATCACCTTAAGGACACACCTTTATCATTGAGTAACTCTAAAAGGTGATGATCCTATCGATAGGTCGCTTGTTTCAAAAGGTGAAGATCCAAGTTGAACCCATGTCCTTGGAGTCGCTAGATTTAAAGTGACTTTTGGTTGAGTAACCTAAAAGGCGAAGGTCTTACCGGGAGTTAAACCCAGGTCGCTGGATTCAAAGTCCAGAGTGCTAACCACTGCACCATAGAACCAAATGTTTTAATATCAATCTTATAATGAAATCATCTTAAGGTTCACCGTCTATCTATCTAAAATCTAAAATCTAATGTATGAAAAAAACTACCCACTTAGTGAATTTGAAAACCATACACCACTATTTAACCAACAAGAGTTTCTATGAGCATTAGAAAGAAAGGAGCACCGGGTCGTCACAAAACAAAAAACCACCTTGAAAAAGATCCACATGAAACTTTAGAAAAAGGGTACTAAAAACAAAGTGTAGTGGAAAAATGAAAAAATGAAGACCAAATAAATGATTTTGTATGTCCAATTTGAATCGATATCAAAGGAGAAGTAATAGGTTGGAATGACAGGATTGAAACAAGAGAAATTTTGTACCCAAAACCGAAGTAGCTACCAAGCTACGCTACATCCCTTGAAATTGGTCTACCATGGTCATTGTAAAAAATCTATCCCGCCCTGTTTTCAAAATAGTTATTTTCTCTTTCTTCTTTTTTTCTTTTTCTTTTTGGTTTTGATTTTCTTTATATGCTCAACATCATCCCACCCTTCCTATCCCACCCTTCCTACCAACAGTTCCGTTATGTATGAGGAAAAAAAAAAAAAAAAAAGTGTGATAATAAAGAATCCGCCCTTCAATAAGCGAGGTAAAACTGTCTGAAGTTGCAACTAAGAAGCAGAACTAGTAATTACCCTAGCTAATATAGTAGCAGCATATATTTCTCTCAATTTGATGCATCAAACCAATTGCAAGCTAATTAAGAATGAAAAATTGATAGTTCCAACCGGAAATTTCGACAAATACTTACTGTATAAAGCCTCATTCATCACACCAAGTTCAAGTAAGAGGCAGATCTTCTAATTTATATATCCAGGCAAATGTAGCAGCAAACATCAAACATTAATTGAAACTGACCCATCAAAGATCCAAAACAATTGCAAGCTCATTACGAGTGAAAATTTGACACTTCCTTACATTCAGGACTTTCATCAAACACCTTATGTACACCCGCCGAAAATGGGATTTGACGAAAACCCATATCCCGAAATGCTAAATTCGAAAAGAGAAAATACCACTTTGAGCCGAATTCCAAAGGCGCGAAAGCTTCTAAGCCTGTGATACGTCTCCTTCGTCGACAGAAAACGAATCGGTGGAAGACGTTTGTTGGTGGTGCAGCGATGGTTGTTGATCGGAGTTTATCATGTTCTCCATATCCCTCATCCTCCTCCGAGCTACGCTTGTAACGAGAATGGCGGCGGTGCCAAGAGTCCAAACCCAGAGGATCTTTACGCCGGGGCTCTTCTGTCTCGCCATATCGGAACTTCACTTCCGCCGCCAAAACTCAAAAGCCTAGGTTTATGATTTGTTTTTACCTTCTATTCAAATTTTTTTAGGTTTCAGATCATTTATTTAAATATTTAAATTTTTAATTTTTAATAAAAAGTAAAACTATTTATTATTTTTGAAAATTACCTAACAGTGGTTAGATAATAAATAATAAAATAAATATAAAATTAAATTAAATTAAAATAAATATATGTAATATAATTATATTGAAAGTAAAAATTTATAATTTATAATTTAATAATTTAAGTTAACTTGTTTATATTACAAATCACAGAATATAAATTGATATATTTATAAAAAAAAATAAATAAAGATTTAAATTAATAAAATAACTAATTCACACATTGAATTAATTTCCTCCAAATTATAATATGATTGAATTGGTGGAAAAGCATATAAAATACAATCACGTGCATCACATTTTTTCAAAAGGTAAGTCCACGTGTCTCACGTGTGGGAACAAAACTCCGAATTAAATTTTAAGCTCACATTTAGGCTTAAATTCTGATTTTAGCATAAATATATTTTTAAATCGTATAATTAGAAAATTAACATTTTTATATAGCGGAAAAAAATGTAATATCTATTTTAACTTATTTTAAAAAATACATACGTTAATTTATTAATTTTAAATATAAATATATTTTTATATCTGCTGTTATTCTAAAATTTAATATTATCTAATTTAATACAAATATGCAAAACGCATCTGTAGTGTGTTCCCATTTGGTTGTATCTTCCAACTGTACGGCTTCATTAAGGGACTTTCGTTTCCCTTCATCAGTCACCAACCGATAGTGCAAAGAAGGTACATACCTATTTGATACTCTGATAGCTCTGGATTATCTTTTCAACACCGACTCAAATGTCACTTGCTTCGCTTATGGTTCCTTAGTAACAGTTTCAGGGGTTTCTGGAGTATCCGCTGCAACATCACTAGGTGAATCTTTCAGCAACTCAACCTCAACTCTCACTTGCTTCGTTGTCTCGATACTTTTCTTCAATTCTCTTATAATTCTTGTGAAGCTAACTCGTTTCCGTATATTTGAAATATAATAACCGAGTAATTAAATTAAACTAAGAATAATTTTTAAAAATAAAATATCAAATTTATTTGATTTTTTTCCACAAAAAAATGGATAAAATAAAGGTTTGGTTGACTTTCTTGATTTTAAATCATGATGAAAAGCTCAATTGTTTGGGTAATATAATAATTTTTCTTTCATATTCAAAGAACCAAAATTAAAATACATTTAAAATATTATTATTTTATCCATTAAATTAATTTTTTGATAGAGATGAATTTATTACACTATCCGATCGAAATATATTGATTTTACGATATTTTTAATTCGTTAAATTTAATTTAAAAATATTTTTTAGGTCGAAAATTTTCAATATTGGATAGTAACTCAGTTAATTAAGGTTTATTAGATATTTAATTTTTATTTTTATTTTGGAATTTAAAATTTAATTAATCTTTTAAGTAATTAGATGAAATATAATAAAGAAGGTAAAAATATATATTTATAAATAAAATAAAAATTAAAAAAAAAATGGAAAAAACATTTTTTTAATCATCAATATATATGAACAAAATGTGTAAAATATATAATTTTCTAATTTAAATATTTTTAAACAATTTGAAAAAATAAAAAAAATAAAAAAATGGTCGACAATAACAATTTATTTTCTTGACTTTAATATTTCCACATGCATAATATTTAAAACACGGGTGACTTACAACGGAGCTTAATAAATATTAAAAGAATCTTCGGTCTTTTAATAGCAAATATGGTTCGTTTTAGCCCATTACATCTCGGCATCACCGTCACAACTTTTTACTAGGAATAATATTATTATTATTATTACGTGACTCTAAATTTTATTTTAATAGTTATTTTAATTTATTTTGTTATTTAATTTTTTTTTTCATCTTCCCCATATGAAGGAACACTCTCGGTCATACTCTCGTGTACAACACGCGCGAAAAGTTACAATAATGTCATCTCTGGAAGCAGATCAAGTGATTTCCACTCAACGCAACAATGGCGGACGCTTCATTTCAATTCTTTAACAATGGCTTTGACCCTTCTTTAAATACTGATTCTTCTCTTTCTTTCTCTTTTCACATCTCCCTCTTCTTGCTTTCCCTTCAGATTCTCTCGTTTCGTCCCTCCAATCCCACCGCTTCGCCATGGCAGATGCTCTTCCTGATGCTGCCATGGACGCCGTCCAGAAGCGCCTCATGTTCGACGACGAGTGCGTCTTTTCTTTCTCTTTTTAGTTTTTGTTGTTAGTCTTTTGATTTTTCGTTCCGCTTCTTCTTGTTGCTTTTGACTTTGATTTGTGCGTGGTCATGTTGTTGATTGATTGGTTTCTCTCTGGTAATGTTGATCTGATTTGGATTATTTTGTGTTTATTGCTGGAGCATTGTTATGTTATGGGAAAACGGTGAAGTGTGTATTGATTTGGATGCTTAAGGTTTTTGTGGAACTTCGAGTGTTTGTGGATCAATTATAGGATCTGTTCTCGTTTGAAATCGGATGATCAACATATCCGGAAGTTTAATTGTCCTTTCTCTCTCTTTCTGATGTTATTTTTCAGCTAATTTCACTTTCTTCTTCTTTCTTTACAGTTTTTGTGTAGTTTTGCTTCTTTTGACTGGTTATTTTACGTGATTGTGTTGTTGATTGATCCTATGTTTCTCTCCATTGCTCTGATTTGCTTCATTTGTGGGGAAGAACTAAACTCGAAGCCTGATTTTTGTGTTTATGATTTGCTGAACCAGTTGAATTGGGTCTCAATTGAGATTCCTGATGAAATAATTTGCTCAATTTGTACAATACCAAGTTTGAATTTGGATAACTATCATGTCCCCGACTTTAATGGTCTTCGCACATCCTTGTCTCTCTCTCTCTCTCTCTCTCTTGCTGATATTATCTTTCATCAATTCATTTCACCTTTTTTACGGGTTTTATGCATTGTTCTTGCGTTTGACTTTGATTTTTACATCATCATATAGTTAATAGATCAAAGCCTCTTTGACATGTTCTCTACTTCGTCTTATTGACATGTTCTCTGTATTTGAATGGGGAAGGAATCAAATCAAAGCCTCTTTTTCTTCGTCAAGGGGGTGAAAATTGTTGATTAGGCATTTCAAACCAGTGGAATTGGGTTTCATTCATTTGAGGTTCCTGATGATTTGATGCTTAAAATTCCATACCTTTTGGTCTGTAAGTAATGATGGAAAATGTACTGCAGGAATTTTTAGTTCTTTGTCATGTTAAACCATCACTAAATTCTAAAAGTCGAAGTTTGATGAATCTAAATTCTTTTTCCTTGGAGATTAACAACCAGTGGGGTTAAGGGATTCGAATCTCTAAACTATGCTCATGTTGGCGAGTAATCCAACTGTTTAATATATTTCCCGAGCTTCTACGTTTTTGTTTCGGTGAACTCAGGGATTGTTATGTGTCATACCTTAATGCTTGTAACTGGTTCATCATTTTATTCTTCAACATCGTTTTTTTTGCCTCATTTTTATGTGAATTGTAACGTGTCATCCTTTTTCGTTTCTCTCTCGTGACCCTTTACCTGGGCTTCACTGGATTACTGTGGCTATTACTCTAAAATATATTGTATTCTCATCTGCTCAGTGATGTCTTGATCATAATTCAAGGGAATTGATGGTTTTGTGTGCATATATCAGGCCTTCATTTCTTGTTGATGCCTTCAGTTCTGTTAGAAACCTTAAAAATAAATCATGCTTTCTCAATCATTTTTGGCTAACACATGCCTCGTGTCGATCTCGAATTCCTGGACAGGTGCATTTTAGTGGACGAGAACGATCAAGTCGTTGGTCATGAATCCAAGTACAACTGTAAGTCAAATTTTATATCCAGTATTGATTTCTTAGAAGCTAGTTTCCTTGTTATTGGCTATAGTTTTGAGCTTGGATCGTGGATTAATGCTGCACAATTTGTTCTTCTAACCTGCAGGTCACTTGATGGAAAATATTGAATCTAAGAACTGGCTGCATCGCGCGTTCAGCGTCTTTTTATTCAACTCGAAATATGAATTGCTTCTTCAGGTATGTTATTCGGGTCGGGTTTTGGTTTGCACTGCCTATGCATAGTTTTCTCTATTAAATGATGTTTTTGACAGATTAGAACGTTTGTTTTCATGGCATGGATGGTTTTTGAGCTTTCTTGTTTCTTGTTAAGTAATACTTTTCAATCAGTTAGTTGAGTCTGCTAACTCATTGGGAGAAATCGATTTCTGTATTCTGATTGCGGAAGCTGTTAACACACTTGATTCTGTATTACTTCTGAAGCAACGATCCGCGACGAAAGTGACGTTTCCGCTCGTCTGGACGAACACTTGCTGCAGCCATCCATTGTACAGAGAATCTGAACTAATTGAGGACGATGCTCTTGGTATGTCTTTAACAACAAAATCAGAGCTGACCCCTACACTTTTTGAACCTCCTAATATGGATCTTCTTGTTCATCTACAATAACCAGGTGCAAGGAATGCTGCCCAGAGGAAGCTTTTGGATGAACTCGGTATTCCTGCAGAAGACGTCCCAGTCGACCAGTTCACTCCCCTTGGTCGCATGCTATACAAGGCGCCCTCGGATGGCATATGGGGGGAACATGAATGTACTTTCCTTAGCTCATCTGTTTAAAAACGTCGTACTGCATTTGTTCTGATGATTGTCAATGTGCAGTGGACTATCTCCTCTTTATCGTTCGAGATGTGAAAGTGAACCCGAACCCGGACGAAGTGGCGGACGTGAAATACGTGAACAAGGAGCAGCTGAAGGAGCTTCTGAGAAAAGCAGATGCTGGAGAAGAGGGGTTGAAGCTCTCGCCTTGGTTCAGGCTTGTTGTGGACAATTTCCTGTTCAAATGGTGGGATCATGTGGAGAACGGGACTCTCAAGGAAGCTGCTGACATGAAAACCATTCACAAGTTGACTTGAGAAGAGAGGACATTGTCAATCTTCTTGTTTGTTTGTTTCTTTCTAATAAGATCTGAACCTTATCTATGCTTATTTTTCCCCCTCGGAACAAAACAACGTCACATTTCATTGTCATCTTAGTTCCACGATCTATACATTGTGAAACTATCTCATGTCTCAGAACTGCTCGGTCATTTTGGCTTGCTTGCTTGGATACATCTATTGGGAATTGATCCATGTGTCGATCATTTCATCGGAACATTCCGAACATCTATCTATTTGGGCTATCTCAAGCATTAGACTCTCGCATCCATGCTAAACTATTTACGGCATGCGTTCCAGATATATATATAAAATTATGGCAACATTTTATTTCAATTAAAAAATAATAAACAATAAATAATTATCGAATACTTTCAACGTTCTAAAATCACAACTTTGATTCCATCTCGGGTACTTTACCATTATAAGATCCTATCTCAGACCAATTTTCCAATGTCTATTTATTTATTTATTTTTTAAAAAAATATCTTGATATTTGATGTAATATCTTATAAAGAATATTTTTATTTCTCTATTTTCTTAAAAATAAAATCTTAGTTGATGAATTTTTTAGTCAACAAATAGGAGATATGAATATTTAATCGGGTGATGTTGATATGACCCAAGTATCCGACCAACTATCTAAACTCAAACCATAAAGGTTGAGTTGGATTACATTTTTTTTTTCCGTTTAGGTTGAGTTAAATTTAGGTATGGAACAATTGACGAATATGAAAATAGGGTTATAATCCAACCAAACCCTACTTTTAAAATTAATAATATTTAACGTCTGTAATGATGTGAATGATGCGTTATGACTAGTAAATATTTGATATTTGAGTTTTATGAAATTTTACTTAGAGTAGAATATGTCTGATAATAACAATGAATTTTTTACAAATAATTAAAAAAAGAATAACCCGATAACTCAACAAAATCCAACCTAGCTTGAAAACACAGCTGAATGCCATAATTGTTAAGGCCAATTTTGAAGTTGACAAAAAGAAGAAAAAGGGAAGATTTTGTTAATTTTTAGAACAATTGAATGCCATAATTGGGTTTCACACAACGAACTTATTTCTTCATAATTTCTTCCCTTTTCACGCAATCGTCTTCCTCGTTTTCCTCTGGTCTTCCTATTTATTCTTCGATCCCCCCATTTCCCCCTTCTTCAACGCCGTGGACTCTCCCTTTCGCCCCAACTTCATAAAGGTAATTCCACTTCCCTTCCCAATTCTCGATTCGATTTGGGTCTTTTTGCTTCTCTTTGAATTTGAATCTGATCTTGATTTGTGGGAATCAGTTGCTTGAAGTTCACACGGTCTGTTCTGCCCAAAAATGAATGTTGTATTCTTATTGTTCCATTTCTTGGGTTTGTTTATGTCAATCTCATCGGATTTCAGATGGGTCTTTGTTGAGATCGGTGAATTTCATTGTGAATATTGTTTTGTTCGTTTGTTTACTCTAAACGTGCGATCGTGGAGATTGAGGTTTATTGAGTTGGACGCAATTGGATCAGTTACTTTTGTGTTGATTTAATGATTATTGTTGATCTTCTTCTGTTCGTCGATTACTTTTGTGTTGATTTAATGACTATTGTTTATCTTCTTCTGTTCGTCAATTACTTTTTTGTTGATTTAATGACTATTGTTGATCTTGTTCTGTTCGTCAATTACTTTTGTGTTGATTTAGACTATTGTTGATCTTGTTCTGTTCGTCAATTAATGACATTCTATGCACAGCCACTTTTCTGATTTGGATTTATGTTACTTTTTTTCGTTTAAAATTTCTGCATTACAATGAATTTTGTGGAGCTATCTTGTTTGACGAGCTTATTTGTTTCTTGTCACGGAGTTTCTATGGTTATCATTGAAGGCAAAATATGAAAAAGATGCATGGATAATCACTTCTTTTATTTTTTAAATGGGATCTCAAGTGTCAAATAAATGGTATACTTTGTTCGAGGGCTCTAGAGAAAAGGAGTCGAGCCTCGATTAACGGTGTGATGTCCCATATTGGTTGGGGAGGAGAACAAAACACCCGGGTATGGAAATCTTCCCCTAACATACGTGTTTTAAAGCCTTGAAGGGAAGCCCGAAAGTGAAAGCCCAAAGAAGACAATATCTGTTAGCGGTGGATTTGGGCCGTTACAAATGGTATCAGAGCCAGACACCGGACTATGTGCCAGCGAGGAGGCTGTTCCCCAAAGGGGGTAGACACGAGACGGTGTGCCAGTAAGGACGCTGGGCCCCGAAGGGGGGTGGATTGTGATGTCCCACATTGGTTGGGGAGGAGCACAAAACACCCTTTATAAGGGTATGGAAATCTTCCCCTAGCATACGCGTTTTAAAGCCTTGAGGGGAAGCCCGAAAGGGAAAGTCCAAAAAGGGCAATATTTGCTAGCAGTGGATCTGGGCCCTTACAAAGGGAAAACTATCTGAGGGCTCCATAGGTCTCAAAGGAGGCTCTATAGTGTACTAAATGGTGTACTAAGGTGTTACTGTCAACTCATTGCATATGGATTTTGAATGAAATCCATTACAAAAACATAAAATCTGTTAATTTTCCCACATATTTGTGATTGTGTTTTATCTGCAATATTGTTTTCTTTCAAGAAATGACCAAATGGAACAATTTCTGCTTTAGCTGAATTCAATGTTTTGTCTACAAACTTAAGGTGCTTGAAGCAAATGGCCTTGGTTACCACTGCAGAAGTTTGTGATGCTAATCCACAGCTCATTGTGAGTGGTGAACTTCGAGCCCTCGAACCAGTTTTCCAGATATATGGTCGACGCCAAGTCTTTTCAGGACCAGTAGTCACACTGAAGGTATTTGAAGATAACGTCTTGATTCGTGAGTTCCTTGAGGAGAAGGGTAACGGCAGAGTTCTTGTCGTGGACGGGGGCGGTAGTAAGAGATGTGCAATATTGGGTGGCAATCCTGTTGTCCAAGCTCAGAACAATGGGTGGGCTGGTATAGTTGTGAATGGATGTGTTAGAGATGTGGATGAAATTAACGGATGCGATATCGGGGTACGGGCTCTCGCTTCACATCCAATGAAAGCCTACAAAAAACGGGTCGGAGAAAAGCACGTTCCGATAACTATAGCTGGGACAAGGATCATGGATGGAGAATGGCTGTATGCAGATACTGATGGGATTCTGGTTTCACGAACCGAGTTGTCTGTTTAGAGAACTGTTGATTAGTTCCCTTCCAAAGATTTTGATGGTAGGATGATATTGTTATACGAGGACGAGGACGAGCACGAGGGCGAGCGCGAGGGCCAGAGCTCATCAGTAACGCTCTTAATGTCTACTTGTGGACCCTATAATTCAACTCCTTGTTATATTTATCACTAAAATGATGTATTATTACTTGAGCTTAATATGATGTTGTGTGCTGTGAAAGATTGCTGCATTATTGTTGTAAGCATCTTATTGTGTTATGAACACTAAATACTTGATTGAAGGAAGATCCATATTTCTATGTAAATCTTCATAAATGTTGAAACTATTTTGAATGTGTTCTAATTATGTTCAATATAATACAGACAGGTTTCTGTAGGCATCAGCTTGTGACAGATAAACAGAGCTTTTGGGTTGCAGCTATGCAAATGCAAGGACAATGGTTAGCTGATTCCCAGGTTAGAAACTCCATTTACTTTCTTCCATTGCATTGTTTTTGTGGGCTGCGATCTTCTGGCTGTCTTATGAAAGTTTCAAGTGTTTAAAAAAACGTAGAAAGTCGGTCGAAATAGATTCTCGACTATGATAGTAAGGGTCAAATGTTTGGAGATACCTTCCAAACTCGATGATTGCATAGTGCACAGTGCATGTATCATTTTGGTACAATGATGTGTCGGGACACTAAGCATACTATGTTGAAGTTAGTCGGATGTTTGGTGATATCTTTCAAAGTCGATGATGGATCCTAATAATGAAATAGTCTTCATTGCATAGTGCGCAATGCACGTATAGTTTTTGTGAGATCCTACATCGGTTGGGGAAGAGAATGAAACATTCTTTATAGGGGTGTGGGAACCTTTCCCTAGCTCGAAGGGGGATGGATTGTGAGATCCCACATCGGTTGAGAGGAGAATGAAACATTCTTTATAAGTGTGCGTAAACCTCTCCACGTTTCAAAAACTTTGAGAGGAAGCTCAAAAGGGAATGCCGAAAGAAGACAATATCTGTTAGTGGTGGGCTTGGGCCATTACAGCCATGGTACAATGGATATGTTGGGACACTAAGTAAACTAGGTTAAAGTTAATTGGATGTTTGGAGATACTTTCTAAACTCGATGATAAATTCTAATAATGAAATAGGCTTCATTGCATCGTGCACAGTGCACATATAACTTTGGTACAATGTTATGTGTCAAGACACTAAGTAAACTACGTTAAAAGATAGTCGGATGTTTGAAGATACCTTTCAAGCTCAATGATAGATCCTAATAATGAAATAGGTTTCATTGCATAGTGCATAGTGCACGTATATCTTTGGTACAATGATATGCGTCGGGACACTAAGTAAACTACGTTGAAGTTAGTCAGATGTTTGGAGATACCTTCCAAACTCGATGATGGATCCTAATAATGAAATAGGCTTCAGTGCATGCACAATGTACGTATAGCTTTGGTACAATGCTATATGCATTATGATACTAAATAAACTACGTTGAAATTATGCGTACTTGTGTTTAGATTATGTTGTGATGCAAGGATATATCTATGCAACTCGAGCTCAATACATAAGACTAACCTTAGTTTAATTAAATTATCGATATCAATCTATAATATTTATAACAGAAACTTTGACGATAATACTCTTTACTTTTTACTTAATACCTAAAATATCATTTGTGAAAAATTTAATTTAAAACCTTAACCTTTGTCATTTTTTGTTTCATAAAAGTATAAACAATTATAAATTAAATTAAAAGAGTTTCAAATATAAGCATATATATTTTTTTTCTAAATAAATAAAATATTTTTATGTAATATATAATTTGAAATTATAAATTAATATTTTCTAAATAAATTTATTGTAAAGTTTGCGGATTTTATTAATAAATAAATAAATTTTGTGGACGAAAATTAGCACGTGAGTAATACTGTATCACGTGTCAAATTTAATGTGCGACTTCCTTTATTTTTATTTTTATTCTTATTTCCTTAAACTGATTTTTTTTAATATAAAATTTCTATGAAAAGCGTCCTATCTTTAAATAAAAACATTAAATTTTCCTATAAAATTCCAAAAAATTTATTTTAATTTAAAATAATATAATACATTAATCATTGAGTTAGGTAATATATATATATATATATATTTTTAATTAGTTTTATGTTCAAGGACAACCCTGTCTTTCCCTCCACCTCCTTTTTCTAATATGGACTTTGACCGGAAAGGTTTCCGGTCAATCTACACAGTTAATTAGGCTTAAGAAACTCTCGAAAGGGCCCCATCTTTCCCTCACGAGCCTCTCTCTAATATGAACCTTTAGTTAAAAGGTTTTATGCGTTCGGTGAATCCACACGATCCTAAGAAACTCTCAATAGGGGCCGTCTTCCCTTCGTGAGCCGGTCCCTAATATGAACCTTGAGTTAAAAGGTTTTATGCGTTCGGTCAATCCACACAGAGTTAATCAATCCTAAGAAACTCTCGAAAGGGCCCCATCTTCCCCTCACGAGCCTCTCTCTTAGTTAAAAGGTTTTATGCGTTCGGTGCATCCACACGATCCTAAGAAACTCTCAATAGGGGCCGTCTTCCCTTCGTGAGCCGTCCCCTAATATGAACCTTGAGTTGAACGGTTTTCTACTTCAGTCAAACCACACGGAGCTAATGGAACCTAAGAAATCTGAAAAGTAGCCCTATAAATTATGAAATATATTTGAGTGGATGGACTATATATAGAATATGAATCAAAGTTAAAAGGAAGGTCTAAAAATAAACAATTTTTAAGACAAAAGAAGGTAATCTAATTTTTATGTAATAGAAAAAAAGAAGAAAAAGAAGAGAAGAAGAAGATCTTGAGGACTATTTTAAGGGAAAACGAAATTGCAGCTAACAGAATTTACGCTTCTTTCTACCTTCCTTCCGATTTCTTCTTTTTTGGTAATTTTTCTGTTTCGATTTCCATGTATTTCATTGTTTGTTCTTCCATCAATGTCATTCAAATTACTCCGTCATCCACTTCCAGGTATAGATCTTCGTTGTCACTGCAACTCAAGCTCCATTTCGCATCGCTTGATCGATTCTTTTGTGTTATCAGCTGACGTTGACTTTAGATTATGTGAAGTATTAGTACTGTGTAATGAATGCGATTCATGGACGACAATGGGGAGAACAGCAGATCCCCAACTTCTTCAACGTCTAAGTTTTCGGATGATGAAGTTCTTGTGGATGCCAATGGTGGAAGCTTACGAGCTTCCAAGAGAGGGAGAAATGGATTCAATGTATCCAAGAACAATTTGGCGTTGCCCAGGTTTCGTACTGCGAGTCCTTTGGGATCGCCTATGGTTCGATCTCCTTGCCTCACTATTCCGCCGGGAATCAGCCCTACTCTGTTGCTTGATTCCCCGATTACGCTGCTCAATACACAGGTGAGGTTTGGGATTGTATTTTGGATGCTGGAATTTTCATGCATTTCTGTTCTCTGTTTCTTTTTTGTGCGTACATCAAATGGAATCCTTTTTCAGATGATGCTGTTTGTGATTACTTTGCCTTCCACCTTTGGAATGTAACTGTGGTTAAGAAAAACTTAAAATAATTAATAGTTAACTTTAGAACAACAATCTAGATTCAAATCCTGTGGTTGTAGGATTCAGGAGAAGAATGATGGGGCTGTGTACGAAATCTGAATTTCAAATCCTACGTCTGAGGCATAATTTAATTTAGTTTTTCGGTGTAATAGCTTCATTATCGTGTGATTGTGTTCATTCCTACTGATTTTCTGTTCTTGACAATTCTACAAACCTTTTCATTATTATCTTCTAGTTTTTTTTTTTCAAATCACCATGAAGGTATGAGGTGGGTGGTTTCAATTTTCTTGCATTTCTTTTCTCTGTTCTTTCTTGTGTCTACGTGGAAAGAATGGAATCCCTTCGGTTGTTGCTATTGTAATTACTTGATGCCGCAGGATATGCAAGTGTGACTAAGAAATGCTTAAAAGAATGGATAGTCATTATTTATACCAACAAGGCACACTTTCCTTTTTCGGTGACCTAATCATAAGATCTCCAAAATTAAATGTGCTTGACTTGGAGCTATCCTATGTTGGGTGACCTCATAGGAATTTGACAAAAAACCTTGACTCGTGTTGGTTTGTAGGGAAAAGTAACATAGCCATGTCACGGTAGATGCAGGGAAATGTCAGGCTGTGTGCTGCATTCTGAATCCTGGTCTGCACCCTGATCCTGAGCTTGAAGCATTACAAAATTGATATAGTTTTTTTTTTTTTTTTTTTTTTTTTTTTTTTTTTTTTTTTTTTTTTTTTTTTTTTTTTTTTTTTTTTTTTTTGCACTAATAGCGATCTATCTTTAGTACTGATTTTATATTCTTGACAGGTTTTACTAGTTTTACAAACCTTTTTATTGTTACTTTTTAGTTTTTCTCAAAAATCCATTTTAATGGGATGTTATGTCAGGATTTGCCATCTCCAACCACTGGCACTTTTCCCATACATCAAATAAAAGATGAGCATTCATTGTTGAATCCTGTAATGCCTGAAGATGGAAGTAGCCACGGCAGTGAGGATTCCTACTTCAGGTTCACACCTCATGGGGAGCTTAATACTCTTCAAAGTCTTTTCAGGCTTGAAAATCAGGTAACTGATGCTATTTCTTTACGTGTTTGCATAGCAAGTAGTAACTTTGCCCACAATCTTTGTGAATGTGTGAGTGAGAAGGCATGCTTTAACTAGGATGCACCCATGCATCATTCTCCATAGTTATAGAAAGCTTTAGCTTGAGTTTGTAGTGCATAGAGCACAACACCCTAAGACTTAATTGAGATGAATCAAAAGACGGGAAATTTGAATCCTAAGAAAACTTAATCCTATGTGAGTACTGAGATTGGTTTTCTCCTTTTCAACTTTGTTAGTAGTTAGGAATTAGAAGCTCATTGAGATGTAACATATTTAACTCTAAATTTGCTCAAGGTGTTTATCCTTAGCTTATGCATCTTTTGCTTGCTATTCAACCTTATCATGTGAATTTCATGTTATGGAAATCCCTAAACCCAAATCAAATGCTGATGTTTGAACTGTGTTATGAAGATCATCATTGTCTCGTGATAATAATTATTTCCCCAATTGAAGTTATCATCTTATTCATCGGCCTTATCAAATGTTCAATGTTGAAAATCAGTAAACCAATATTCATATCACTATCTTTATGAAATGATCAAATGTATTTCTACAATTTGATCTTGTAACTCATAACAATTTAAAACTAGAGAAGTCATTTTGTAGCAGAAACATTTTATAATTCATATAGAATATCTGAATTTTCAATTTAATAGTTATCTCGAGCTAAGCGGGTTTCAATAGGGTGGATTGCAGGTTCGTCAAACCTGCTACCTTTGAACGTCAGAGATGATTGAGAACAATGAAGTAGAAAGTTTAAATCTAGGGTGATCATGGTACAGTAGAAACATTGACTGTAGTTGGTGAAAGTGGAAAGGCAATGATACAAGTATTAGTGCACGTGTAAAGAGCATTTTGATTTCTAAGAGTATGCCTTCTTGTTTTTAAGGTTAGCAAAATTCAGAACGTAAATGGTTTGGCAGCATGATGAAATTCAATATTGTTGGAAAAAAGCGTAGTTGTTGGTGGGTTTTCTGTTTGACTCAAGCGAAAGGGCCGTGTGGAATGGTGGATCAAAATTCTCTTGCATTAATTATGGTTTTGAGACACAGATTGTAGTGGAAGATAGTTTTCAAATTGTGTGTTTTTTTTTTTTTTTAATTTCTCCATGACAAGTATTTAGCTTTGGCTTTAAGCTTAAACCAGGAACTGTATCAACGCTGAGGCACTGAAAAATAATATATTTGGAGAAGAGGGAAGGAAAAAGAGAAGGAAATAAAATAAAAGGACTGGTACCGGAAGTTCTTAAGTTCAATTGATTTCAAATTATTGTTCCTTTCAGATTTTATTAGGCTTCATATTGGTGTGTTGAGAACTATCGGCCAAAACAATCCCAAAACTCAAGATGAATACTGTTAAAATCCCGATGGATCTGATATGCTGAACTGTACTTGTTATTCAATATGGTTTCTGATAAGGAAAAAAAAAAGAAAAAGAAAATTCAAGCTTGAAAAAATATGAAAGCACTTGCTTTAACAGCTTCTACTATGTTTTTTCTTCTTCTGCCTCCTTAATATTACACATGCAGAGATATACAAATGTCAATTGGAGAGCCTGTCTGTAACTGTTTGGCACCTTTTTTTTTAATTTCATTTATTTCAATTGAAGTGTTTTCTTATACTAAAAAAATACATGAAAACTGTCACCTCAAACCCTCCATTGCTCCGTCATAATATGGCATCTCCACAAAGCTCCGACTGTGTCGGGTTTGGAGCAATCTCTCAAACTTATCATCAGCTTTATCGTCTTTAATATTTGTTTTGGAGCAGTGTTATTATCTCATTCTTATGGAAAATTTTCTGGTGCTAAATGGGTATCAAGGGGTTATGAAAAAATGATTTGTGACTCCAGAATGCAGAAACATAATGGAATCTTAACGAGGTAATGGGCGTGTTTTAGGTAAGGCCATATGTTGAACAATAGATTCTCATGTGTGAATTTTACCATATGTTAGTTACTTTTGAGTCTTGCAGAATGGGCCAGATATTCTCGCATATTCTTCAAATAGCTGATCCTTGTAGACATTAGTCTGTTTGATGTTGAGAAAAATGGTCCTTATCATTTTGTTTCATTTTATTGCAATTTTTTTCTCAGGAAGCTGACATTGATCGTCAAGCCTTTGAATCAGAGAAAGCACTGATGGATTTTGAATTCCTAACTGATTTTTCAAAAGAAGGTTCTGTATTGAAATATGACATCGCTTCATCCACTGGTAATAACCATTTTGATGGAAAAAGTGTTAATGGAAACTGTGACAATATGGAAAGTTGTCTTTCTGCTATAGCTCATAATCAACCATCTACACCTGAAGAATCGGCAAAAAGAGATGACAGTGAGACGCAGCATCCTTTAGAAGGTGAACAGAAAGGGTCTTGCATTCCTATGGGAATGTTAAGGACATCAGAAGATGGATACAACTGGAGGAAATATGGACAGAAACAGGTCAAAGGTAGTGAATATCCAAGAAGCTACTATAAATGTACACATCCAAATTGTCAGGTAAAGAAGAAGGTGGAGCGATCTCTTGATGGTCAAATAACAGAAATCATCTATAAGGGTGCTCATATTCATGCAAAACCTGATCCCAATCGTCGAGCCATGCTTGGATCCATGCTAATGCCAGATGATACTCCAGAAATTGGTGAAGGTGGTGGAAACCGTGCCAAAGTTGAAGCTGGGCTGACATGGAGAAACACTCAATATGGGGTGAAGGATACCAAACCCATTTCAGATTGGAGTGTTGATGGTCTAGAAAGGACATCCTCGATATCAGTTGTGACTGAGCTTTCTGATCCATTGTTAAATCCCCAAGGAAAAAATGTTGGGGTATTTGAATCTGTGGGAACTCCAGAGCTTTCATCCACACTGGCTAGTCATGATGATGATGGCAGCGGTGGTGGAGACGATGATGATCTTACAACTCAGGGAAGTATTTCAGTTTGCATTGAAGCTGATGATGCTGAGCCTGAATTGAAAAGAAGGTATTGATCCTACTATTAACTGGATATTATTATAAAATAGAAAGCCTTTAATATGTTCATTGTGGACTACAAAATGGCTAGAATAACTTTGTAGGTATAATTCTACAAGAGGAGGGGATTTAATAAAAGATATGACTGTAAATGTATGGAACTGATGAAGTCGGCATCTACAGCCTTATTTTCATATTCTTTTCTGGTGAGCAGTATCTTCAGTTTTTGAGGCTATAGTGTGGTTGACTTTCATAACCTCCCCGGCTCCTACCACTTTAATTGAGCGCATTTTTGTGGATCTACTTAGATCTAAAATATTATGAATTACTGAGCTTAGACTTACACAAAACGTATTGGTAAGTTACCGATCTAACCTTCATTAATTTGATCATTTACATCTTTTCAATTGATGTCCTTTCGCCGTAAGATTACCTCAAGTAGCTCGAGTTTGTTAAAAACATCCTGAAAAAGTTCATAATGAGTTGCAAAGATTGCTCATCTTCTGTGTGACTATTGTTGCAGGCGAAAAGAGGGTGGTTCAATTGAGACAAACTTGGCTTCTAGATCCTTACGTGAACCAAGAGTAGTTGTCCAAATTGAAACTGACGTCGACATACTTGAAGATGGGTATCGTTGGCGGAAGTATGGGCAAAAAGTTGTCAAAGGAAATCCAAATCCAAGGTACTAACATTTAAATCCATGCTAGTGCGTGTGTAAATGGGTTTTTTGTTGCATTCTACGTTGTGTTTCTGAGGACCAAAGGGACGATGAATGAGTTTACTGTAAAATTGATAGCTCTTACTCCATTAACATTCTTATTTTGCTCGTACTTCAAAAAGTTTTCCTCGAGCTAAAATAGTCTCTGTTCTCGAACTTTTGATATGATCTTGATTTGTGAATTTGAAGATAGTAAGGATGTGGTGTAGGCATCAACATGGTATTGTTACTGCTTGTCATACTATATTGATTATGTCTCCTGTCATTTAAGAATTACTGTTTCGTCCACAGGAGCTACTACAAATGCACGAGTGCAGGCTGTGCAGTAAGGAAACACGTTGAGAGAGCATCACATGATCTGAAATGTGTTATAACAACATACGAAGGAAAACACAATCATGAAGTGCCTGCAGCAAGAAATGGCAGTCAAGTAAACTCGAGTAATGGCAATAGCCAACCTTCTACTTCTCATGTGCAACCGAACATGGATTTGTCCAGAAACTCAAATGTCACAAATTCCGAATCACAAATTCAAGATCTTGCCGCCCAGTTTTATTCAAAACCTGAATTTAACTATGACTATCAGAGATCTGGTTGTTTTGACACTTTTAGGAACGATATAAAACTTGGAGCTCCTTCATTCTGTCAAATGAAGTTCCCTCAACTGCGACACACCTTGCCTTATAGCTCCTTTGGTTTAAATTCAAAGCATACTTCAACAAGCATCTCTAGTTCTTTGGCATCTGTGGTTCCAGACTTCCCAATTTCCTTGCCATTGAACCAAAACTTCTCAGCTGCTGGTTTTGATTTTACCAATGGAAGATCAATACCACCATTTCAGGTTTTCCTCTCTGGTCAGCAGCTTAGAGAAACTGATAGATTTCTCACGCCCAAACAGGAGCACGATGACGATAACATCCGTGCTTCTTTCCAACCAATTGTTGATAGTTCAAGTGGATCTTCATCATCATTGGTCTCATCAGTTTATCAACATATCATGGGAAATTTTCCGTAGCTTATTCGTTCTTCACACAAGTGTATAAGTGTAGTAAAGCTCCATATAGTTTCCACAGTAACTCTGCCTCAAATCTCTTCAAGCTATTTCCAAAGTGGCAGAAAACGTTTAAATACAAGTACTAGTGTTAAGTTAACTGAGAACAGCAGTAGCCGAGGTCGAAGCTTTGATCATCTCTTGTGTAAGCTCTAAAATAAGTTCCTCAGAGGCATTTTACCATCACCCACATGTATATAACTCTGTAGAGCTCAATTTTGATTGTTTATTACCCAAGTTAAAAACACTTACCTTCTGCATTGTTTCAGTTACTGATGTCCATTCCAGAACAGACAACTTTAGGCTATGAAGAATGGGGTATGGGAGATCATGCCACTCCTCAGATGGCTATCTTGCTCAATGCTGCCTTCCACATCAGGTTAGATTCTTGAACTGACTAATTAAAGAAGCATTTTGTGAAGTAATTGAAGAATATTTCAGCTGTGAGTTGATATCCACTAAAACTACCTCTTCAAAGTACTGAAACAGAGTAGCTAACAATGGGTGAGGCTCTTGATCTCACGAACAAACTGCCTTTAATTGAACTCTTGCAGGTGAATAACTATGGCCCAGGTCCCTCATTTCCAGTGTTGTAGGTAAGTCGGAGGTTCATGGGTCATTAGATAATTAGATAATGTTTTTGTTTCCAATTTTTAAGAGAAAAAAAAACGTTTGGTAATTGTTCTCCTCACTTGTTTCTCATTTCTCAGAAATGTTTTCGAAATTGAGTAGAAATTTTGAAATAACAAAATCAAATTTGTTATTTGTTTTTGTTTTGAGTTTTTTTTTTTTTTTTTTTTTTTTTTAACACATAGATAGAAACATTGTCGTTGTTACTTATAATAAATAAGTATCTTAAAATAAATGTAACATAGAGATTTTAGTATTTCAATTTCAAAAATTAGTATTCTTATAAAATTTTGAAGATCAAGAAATAAAGAAACGATTGCCAAACATGTTTTTCACCTTTTTTTTTCGACCAAAAAAAAATGAAGATCACGATTGTTTTTTCGAGAAAAGAAACTACAAACAAGAAATGAGAAACAAGAAACGAGAATGACAACCGAATGAGTCTCTGTACATTTTTGGGGAAATCTTCCATCCTGAGTTTTATAGATCGATTAATTTTGAGCTGATTACCTTAATTTGATTTAAATTATTTTAGAGAGGTGTGAGTGATGTTATCAAATGCAAACTTGTTCTTTCTTTGTAAATCAAATAAAAGAAAAATACATGTAATAAGACAATCTTTATGATCCTTTCTTCATTTTGAATGAACTATAAACATCTACAAGTGAGACTTTATTCTTTGATTAGTATAAACAACATTCGATGATTTGTTGATTTGTTCAATAAATTTATTGTTTTGTAGATGTGACTAAAATAAGAACGGTAAATATAATATTGTAAGATGAAATTGTTGTTTGTACATTTAGATAGGTAAGTGAGTATTTTACTTATAAATTTAATCTATGATTAAATTATTTCACTGAATCTAAATCATTATTAGCTACTTTAGAAGAATAAATCTAGCATGTAAAAAGTAACTTTTGGTTAATGAATGAGATTAGTATAGGTTGCTTTCGTCTCAATGTTGTTGTGTGATGTCTCAATGTTGTTGTGGTGATGTCGATTGTGCGAGTCTAATCCGATGTTGTCTATCCCATCCTATTCGATTATTGAACTCTTTCTTAATTAGCTAAAAACCATTAGATGGTGTGACCTTTGTATAAACTTTTGAGAATGTATATAACTGTCATTATCGTCAGTTGGTCATATCCTATTTTTGCCAATGGGGTTTTTGCCTTCTCTGTGTAATACTGCACTCCACTCTATGAAAATTATTCTAAATCCCGTGTTTATACCAGAGCACCCTTTTCAATATCGTCTTCCACTTGTATACCCTCTCGAATGACCAGCCAGACCCATTCAATATCGTCTTCCAATTGTATACCCTCTCGAATGACCATTTGAAACGGGAGTTCAAACATCGAAGAACAATTAGAATGAATGGTGCAAGAACAACTTTAGTAAACGAAAAATTGTCAAAAGCAAGTTACAAGTTAAAAAAGAAGAATAAAGTTCATCTTCCAGCCGAATAAAGTTCATCTTCCAGCCATCGGTTCAAATCATGAGTTTAGAAACAAGTTACAAACGGTACCGGAAGTAATGTTCATGTTACAGTGTTACAATATAGCAAGAAATGATCAAAGCAACTACAAGACCATACAAGACCAAGTAAAGCTGAGCTACAACACTTTATCTTAGGCAGAAAGAAGGCATTACACTTTAACAACTTACATTCTTGTAAGTGTTATTTGGTTGATTTGGTCCATTTGAGCCATTCTTGAGCTTGCTTGCTCGCCAACCGACCTGAACCGTTTTGCTACCGACGCAACAGAAAAAACATATAAACCAACCAATCGAAGTCGTTTCAACTGATTTCAAAACGGTTCAGCTTGTCAGAATACGCTAATCATCCCTAGCAAACAACAAACATCCGTCCTTCAAACAAATAATGCTCAAATAATGACAGTGACCAAACTTAATGTCCCAATTGAATGCCAACTACAAGGATTTCTCCCCAATAAACCAGCATAATCGACCTTACCGGTTGCCAACTAAAAACCTAACCTGATATTAATGTGATCTACCATCAGAATATGCCATTGCTTGATATCAATGTGATCTTTTAATACAAAAACCAAGTTTAGAGAAACATAAAAGAACATACAAGTGAACATACAAGTGCATATGAAAAAGAATCCAAACACTAACAACAGGACTCCAATCCACAAGAATCAAAACCAAGCTCATAAGTTGAGTCTGATACCGAGGGGATTGAAATTAACCACTAAAGATTATTGCTTTTACAAGAAAATTGTAGGACAGTAGCTCCTTGGAGCCAAAGTGCAATGTGGAAATGGTAAGATTGGAGCCTGAGTGAAAAGAACAACAAAAATGTAAATATAAATACACAGATATTGATAGATTGCTGTGAAAGATCTCATTCATAAAGCTTCTTCAAAGAAAAGAAAAGGCCAACCCAAACAAGAACTCAAAGAGATGAGACATTAACTTTATACAAAGACTTGGTCAAATAAAGAAGAACATGATACTTGGGCTGCCATCTGATTGAAAACTTCAGCGATCTTACACCAAAGGGTTCAGCTCTTTTAACAGCTAACATAACTCAATCTGTAAAGATAAATATAACTAACACAAAAAGGTAAAGTTATAAAAACTTAAACAAAATGGATCAATGAGCAGTTACATCCACTCATTCCATGATTCCGAATCAACAGACCCTTTTGAGATTTTAGAACGAACAACGACCAAGTAACACTTTTGACTTGACTTTAACTCATTTCCTTAGTTGTTTTAACAACTTAAGCAAGCCTCTACCACATAAATATCATAGAATATAGGAATTGAACTTACATAAGTGAAGCCATGACGACCACAGAGACGATTGGGTTTACGAAATTCCTCCTTCAGAGCTGGGTCAACTCTTAATCATTCCCCAGTAATCTACTTTCTAAATATCAAAATAACAATAAAAATCACACAACATATTCTCAAGTCATAAACAGCTTAAGCCTGCAACATTCCAGCAACACCTTAAGCTCACTCTAATCTAACAAAAATTAAACATATGACATGATAAGCACGGAAATAAGAACACGAAACACCTCCATCATTACCATAACAACCATGATCATGTTTTTATGACATATACATAATTGCAAGAAGCTCAAGAAGGGAGACCGCAGCTCCAAGGACATCAAATATGTTTTACTCAAACACCTTACAAGTTAAAAACCACTTTCCATCAGCACCAGAGTGAAGACATAAAGAGACCCAGATTAAGAACACGAAAAAAAAAAAAAAAAAAGTACCCAATACCATATAATTGAGCCTATCCACCCTAATCATCATCATGAAATCCGGATTTTTTTCACTTCTTGAAGCTGCCTCTCACACCCGGTTTGGGCTTAGACGCCTCAGCAGCAACACGAACAGCGTGGAGATTCACAACCTTGTCTTCCTCATAAGGGATTTTGGGATGCTTCGACTCGTGATGAATCTGCATAGTTTTAACATCAGGCGCTGTAATCTTACAGTGTGGGCACTCGAACTTCGCGTGACCACCTTTTTCTTGGCCGGACCGGTCTGCAAGCCCGGCCTTTCCGCCGCCTCTGTTGGTGGTAGCTGCGTCGATCTTCGCCTGGATCTCTTTTGCCGTATGCTTCTTCGGCTTCGCCTTACCCGTCATGGCTGATCGATTGTTGGTGTTTTTTTTTTTTTTTTTCCCTCCCTTTCCGGGTAAAGCAAATCAAATCAAAGCCAAATCGACGCTTTTTAAAATCTGTTGATTGAGAGAATACGTGCCGATTTGTGAGGAGAAACCATCGATCAACAAGAGGAGAGATTTTGGGTGAGAAACCCTAGCTCCGGTGAATCCATCAATGGCGTTTGCTTTATTTATACGGGCTAATTTTGTATTCTTGACGATCTGCTACGGACGGATTTATTTGCTCTCGAGTACGTGGGCGTTTATGATTGGATAAAAGAAGACGAGAGCAATGTTGCGGAAGTAGGTGATTCTAATCTTCTGTAGTAGAGAAGTCCAAACGGATAAGTGATCCCTATAATGAATTTATTAAAACAAAAAAAGGGAGAATAATGAATTTATAAATTTATAAATATAAATTTATAAAATATATATTCCATTTAATTTTATTTAAAATCAGCTTAAATTTTCTAAATAAAATTATTAAGTAATTATATATATATTCCATTTAATTTTATTTAAAATCAGCTTAAATTTTCTAAATAAAATTATTAAGTAATTATATATATATTCCATTTAATTTTATTTAAAATCAGCTTAAATTTTCTAAATAAAATTATTAAGTAATTAATTTCTAAATTAGACAGAAAAAAAAAATCTAATTCTCACTATATAGGGAAATAAATGGTCGTTTAAATAAGAAAGTAGAGATTTTTTCCATTAATTAAATGAGGATATAGGTGAGACTACAACTAACTGTAATAGGTTAAAGTGGGCAACTAACTGTAATAGGTTAAAACGGACAGATTTTTTCCATTAATTAAATGAGGACTGTAATAGGTTAAAGCAGACAATATCTGAATTGTTACAACTATAATCCTTCAATTAAGAAGTTAGAGGCTCGAGAAAAAAAAATATTTTTTAAACCTTTAAAGCTAAGGGAAAAGATATCTAATTTTATGCTATTTAAAAATTTACAATTTTCCTTTTGATTATTTCTAGAAATAGCAAAACATAATATTTTAATATTAAATTAAATTTACTAAATGACTAAAATACCCAAAAATTATAAATATTTATTCTAATTGATTTAAATATATGATTCAAATAAAATAATAATTAGTTGTATTAACCATTTTAAAAAATTAATTAAGAAAAAAGATTAAAAAAAGTGAATTCTATAAGAAATGATTTTATCTCTTTCTTTTCGTTGTTGATACTGAAAATGAGACTTGATTTGCTTGTTCATTAAGCTTTCGAGTCTTGAAACCTAATCTCCCAACATGCTTAAAAATCGAGAGCCACCTAGAGACAAGACAACCAGAGGGAGCTTGCTTCTCAAAAGAGGATAGGCAATTTTTGTGACGATGAATCAGATGTGGTATTAAGCTACACACGCTCCGCCGCTCAAGTAAAGGAATAAGCTATAAATATTTAATTAATAATAACGAGTGGATTCAAAACACCAATGAAACTATACATAAAACAAAATAAAAAAACAATAAGACTCAAGCTATTCTATGACTCATGAAATAATAGTGTTTCCATAAAGTTCCTTTTTCTTTCTTTTCATATGAATTTTTGTTGAAAAAAAAGAAGAAAAAAAAGTAAGGATTTGAGCTTCTTCTTCAATGGAGCCCTAAAAATGGGGAACCAAAGACTTGATGGGGTTTGGACAAGAACATCATATTATGTGCAATAAGGAAGGTTGTGTTCTTGTATGATGCCTTCAATTTGTCTCTAAACTGGTGTTGTTTGGGGCTTCTGCAACTTCTCTTCTCTGTACAACAGCCTTCTCTTGTTTGAGCTATACCCTTGGTACTGGTATATGATGCTGTAAACACATTGCCTCAGAGGCTCTATGTCGAATGCCTCAATGAATTGTAGATCCGTCGCCCTTGATTTCACGCCTGCATATCGCTGGTACTCCTCGAACACTGATGTCAAGCACCAGTTCTGAAACTTCCTCAGGCAACCCACGAGCGAGCCTGTTCGATGCTGCAATCAGGACATGTTAAAGCTTTATGAGCTTTAGAAAACAGAAAACCAGGAAGGGAACAACTTCCAATGCAGCTTTCTCCCCCTAATATCCCTTTCCATGACGTTCGGGTCTGTTATTTTCAAAAACTATATCCAAAATTGTTGTTCTGATCACAGGGAGAGGTTTCCACACTGAATGAACCAATGTGGGATCTCACAATCCACCCCTTGGAGGACCAGCAAGGATGGCACACCGCACAGTGTTTGGCTCTGACACCAGTGGCAACAGCCCAAGCACACCAATGGCACTAGCAGCATCTACTAGGGAGAGGTTTCTACATAGGAATGGTTTGTTCCCTCTCCAACCAAAGTGGGATCTCAAGGATTCCCCTTAAGGTTATGAAAGGCATCTAATAGGAAAAGGTTTCCACACTGAATGCTTCGTTCCCCTCTTCAACCATGGTCCTTGCTAGCACACCGCTCGGTGTCTGGCTATGATACCAATAGTAATAGCCCAAGCCCACCACTAGCAACGTCTATTAAACAAAGGTTTCTACACCTTTATAAGGAATGTTTCATTCCCCTCTCCAACCGATGTGGGATCTCACACAAGACAATATCGAGCTAACAAGGAATCACAATTGTTCCAACATGTGTAGATTTTCATATCAATAAATAGCATGGATAGGATTAGGATGATACCTTTCCACGCTTGCAGTGGATCAAAATGGGGTGATTCCTAACATCTGAAAACCAGAGATAGAATTACAAACAAAACAAAAGATGTTCTAAAATCTGAAAAGATCATGATAAACAAGAACAAGGAATCAAACAAACAAAAACTGAAATCCAATGAAAATTCTCAGTACCAATTAGGATTTTTAGGGCTTCCAGAATAGCATCCTTCGGAATAGAAACGAAAGGCTCCTGAAATCCAAGTGATTACTGATGATTATAACCAGCAAATACATATGTAACACACAATATGAAGGAAAAGGGAAGGAAAAGGAAAGATCAACCTACCTTTGTCCCTTCAATTTTGAATTGAAAAAGCTTGATGTTATTAGCTCTAAGAAACTCCAAATTCTCCTCTGGGTAGGGTTCAGGACACAAATATCTGATTCAAAAAGGCAATCAAAATCAGAATCAAGACAGAAAACGATAATCCAAATCATCTCATTCTGTTAAAAGAAACCAATCCAAATTTCTTGTTAACAATTACAACCCTGCAACCAAATTCATCCCCAAAATTCAATACAAATCTTCTTATCCTCTTAATCAAGACAAATCTTCTTATTAACAATTCCAACCTCCGTAATTCCATCCCCAATCTTAACTGAACCCATAGAGAATCGCTCAAGTACAAATTCAACCTACCCCCACAATTGACGCCCAATCTTTAATTAAACCAAGCAGGGCAAAAAGAAAGAAACAGAGACAAAAATCACAAAACAAGAAACATCCAGAAGCCAGCCAGAGCATTAACGAAACAGAAATCACAAAATCACCCAGAGGAACAACAAAATCAATAATCACAATCAAGAACAACAGAAGAAAAAGAAGACCCAAATAGGGGATTAAGGATACAAACATGATGGAGCGGAGATTTAGATTCTTGAGGAAGGGAAAATTGGAAGGCTGAGGGAAGCCGGATCGGAAAATGCCATCCTCAACACTGGAGAAGTTGGGGGGAGGAACAAGATCGTCGTCGACATCGCCGTCGTTCACTTGGAGCCTCATTTTGCGATGAATTATGGATTGAAGAACAGAAAAAATTGCAGAGAATCGAAAATTGAAATCTAATGAAACCTGCGAAAACTTGGCGATCAGTAGGAATCGAAAATCTAATGCATATAAAGGAAAATCTCTGGCATTCGAGACGAGCGCAGGTTGAATGGAAAGGAAAACGGAGGCGATAGCGGTTTTTAAGAGAGAAAGATGCTGGCAGATGAAAACGATGTCGTTTTGCAGATTCGGATTTTTTTTTTTTTTTTTTAAATTCAAATTCCGCTCTTTCAGTTATTGATTTTATTTGGATTGGATATTTTAATTATGCAAATTTATCATTTTTAAACATAATTTAAAAGATATCTTTCTAAATAAAAAATTTACAAAAAAAAAAATAATAATTTAAATCTCAAAATTTAGTTAATGTAAATTAAATATTATTATTCATTATTGTGAAATTTCTCATCTTATTTAATTTTGAAATAATTTATTTTATATTTTATATTATAATTTTTTTTTTTGATTTTCACGTACTGTTTTTGGTATAAGATTTATAATGTTTTTGAATTATTTGAAAAAAAAAATATTTAAGATTAAGTTGTATTTAATCTGAATTTATTTTCTAAATTAATATCCATAATGAGATTTATCATTTGATTATTTTCCAAAATTAGAATTTAAATTTAGCTATTTATTTTGTAATCAAAACAAAATTCCAGATTTTTTTTTAGAAAAAATCGTAATTGAGAATCATTTTTTTTTTACTAAATTATTTTATGAAAATATGGTATTGACACATTTGTTTTATTAAAATATATATTTTTTATTGACAAATATTTAAGTCTTTTCAAATGAATTTAAGTTAAATATTAATAAAAAAATTATTAAATACTCAATTTTATGGATTAAAATGAAATACCTATAGTTTAAAGGATCAAAATGTAATAATAAAAATTCGGGTATTTATAAATTATTTATTTATTATTTTAAAAGAAAAGTTGATGGAATTTTTTAAAACTTTAATAATTAAAATTGACGAGGGAAAAAAGTGAAAACGACGTGGAATTTATGTCGTTTTGCCCTTTTTTTTTTTTAGATTATTAATAATTAAAAATACAATTCATTGGACCAATTCCTCCTTTTATCAAAATAATTTTTTAGATTATTTGACTCCAGTGGTCGTAACTATTTGAGGACAAAATAGTAATTTATGAAATTTTAAAGGGCAAAATGGTCCGTTCAAACATATTTTCATTATTAGATCGTAATGTTTTATATTTAGATATAAATCAAAGGCATACTCCATTTCGACCGAAATAGTTGTAATAGTGTAAATGACGTGACTGTCTCTTCAAACATATCTCTACCGTTAGATCATAACGTTTCATATTTTATGGTCTCGATCTATGAGATCTCACATTGATTAAAGAGGAAAACGAAACATTTCTTTTAAGATT